CCAACAAAACCCCACCTGGACGATGGTCAATAAAACATTGACCGCAAGCCGACCGTTCTAAAACCGTGATGCAGGGGGAAAGACTGCGCGAGAAAGGTGTAGGTCGAAGGTCTCTGTCAGGGGGGGGGGAGGGTGTACGGAAAGGGAAAAGGAAGAAGTAAAGGAAGAAGGGCGCGGAAGGCGAGCCGAGATGGGGTTGGAGAGGGCAGAGGGGGCGGCTAGACAGGGCTCTAACAAGTGGCTGCAGCCCGTAACGATCGCCTTCTCTGCCATGGATCAGACACTCGCGCGCCTTCTCTGTCTATAAGAGGTTTAACCAACACACGACAGTCTCGTCGTTCCTTCGACAGTGCACTTGCACACCGACACCTCCGTACACCGCTTAAAGCGACACAAAGGTTGCCCTCACGATACGTTCCTTTTGACTTGGAATAATTTTCGCCGCAGCACGCCACCCAGTTCCCGATCCCTCGATCGGATCGATCGAGCTCACTTAACCCTTAACTGGTGAGGTGGGCTCTGAGGAACCCTACGAATAGTTTCAGAATATTTTCTCTTTATTGGATAGTTATTTAAAGAAACACTTGTATCGAAGTAATAAGTAAACTGCGAATGTTTATGCAAATACTGAGCTGTCTTGACGATTTTACAAAAACTGATTTCAAACAAAAATTTCCTCACTCCATTATGGAGTATATTAGATCCCAAATACCATGCATATGGCATCCGACTTTATTAAATATTTTTATACAGTGACAATTTTAGATACTCGTACAGGTTACAAAAGCATAAAATCCGCAGTTTAGTAATAAGTAGACTGCGGCTTTTATGCATTTATAGCACCTCTTAACTTCGAAAATGCAATACGATATCGGTTCTAATAATGTTTGATACCACTTAAGTCTTATTATTAACGGAGTAAAGCATCTAGTGCAGAAATCAATATTCTACTCCATTTGAGTTAGATATTAATGCCCAAAATTGTGATAAAAAAGAATGTCCCAAATAAGATTTTCATCTCACCAGTGAAGGGTTAAGCTCTCCAGCAATACCACGTAGAAAGGTTTTATTTTTATAATATCCAGAAATGTCATGGTGTATTGTTTAATCGAAAAAAGTGTCTGGTGTATTGTTTAATCGACAGATTTTTCCACGCAGTTTCGTCTGTGTGGGAATTGAAGGTGAATTAAGTTTGAATTGCATCGAGAACATATAAGACATGGATGTTTACAATACCCAATGGAGAATGAATACGTGGAATGTCGAACGAATAGAAGGAATGTATGAATATGAAATGCACTGTTCCTTTTGTGTGTATATGTATACTGCGAACGCAAACAGAATTTGAAATAAGTGGAAACGATTGTAACCTGTCTGGTTGGAAACTATTTACATATATTCCTCTTGTTCTTATATTTTCCTACGTTGAGGAAACCATGTGTTTTCGATAAATATTAACATCTTGTGTTTCAACATTTGCTAACACATAGAACTGTATATTATATTAAAAATACATATATCATGTAATTACTGACTTAATACATTTTATACGTAATTTAGAAAAAATAGTTTGTGACGTGGTACGATATTGTGGGTGCAACTGACATAAGGGGTGATTTTTTTATGAAAATGTAAAGAATTGTAGAATGAAATCTTTTCACATAAGGCTGTGTTTTCGAAAAAAATGAAACTGAATATTTGTTGGATGCACAGGATGTTGAACTAGCACATGACTGATTATGTCTGTTCATTGCACACTGTTTCTACTTATTGCAATCAGGAACGCACTGAATCAAAATAGAGCCTTATATGAAGATATGTTATTCTTTTGTTCTAACTTATTTTTTCATGAAAAATTACCACCTTGTTAGAGTATCATCAATGCATGTATGAGTAATATTGCAATTCAATTATTATTTATATTTTTCAACTATTATTACTGTCTGAAAGTTAGTAAAATAAAAAAATTTCAAAAAAATTACTGACGTTTCCATTTTATTTGAAACCTAATAGAATCGTAATGGAGTGAACAATTGTTGCTTCATTTTAGTTTCTTGACGTTCATCCATAAAAATTCAATTCTGCATAAATATCTAGTAATAAGAAAATGAATAACACCAATGCCTACATATAACATACGATTATCCTATCTCCAATATACGAAATGTATGAATGCTTTCGGCCCCACCACTACATTTTCGTTTCCAAAATATGTGATTATTGATCTACCAATTATACTCTCAAAAGGGTGTGTAAATACTCGAATGACCGGTCGAAAGTACTTGAATAGAAAGTGACTTGGAAAACGGGGTCAATGATTACTAAATTAAGTGGATCACTGGGTAAAGAGAATTCACTCGAACCAGTTCGTTTGCTCCCCTGCTTCTGGTAAAGACGTCTTTTGTGGGCCGAGCGACGTGTTTGAAGACTATTCCGTACGCAAAGTAGCCTTAGGATGACAAAGATAAAAGACGATCACCGATTCAGGTTTCTTTTAAAGACACGGCTGCTTTGAAATGAGCTTCAAGAAAGAAGCGGGTTACCTTTAATTCGATCAAAGGGGCAGTAACCCCTCGACACGACTACTTACTTCAGGTATTTACTCTAAGAAGTTCCTGGGGCAAGGGTTACTTTGTCTTCTAATAGACCGTATTAGGAATGAAATCTTTCAGAATCACATTTTCGAATTATTTACCAATTTTCCATATGTATTCTATCAATATCCTTTATTTGATGCTACAGCAAACTTTTCAGAGTGAAAAGTTTCGTTTTATTCAATGAAACGAGAAATTAAAGATAAGAATGTTATTCAAGTGTAGCTTTCGTTATTCATTCGTGTTTATATTAGGTCATCCTATACCGAGCAGTTCGGACAGAAATGAATCAATGTTCCAATATGTTTCGAAGACTAGGAATAGACTGTACAACCCACTTCGAAACATTCGACAGTAAAAAATAAAAATAGATGAAAGTTGCACGATTCAAAATTATTTGTGAACTGAATGTGGATTTTGTTATAAAAATACTCGTTAGAAAAAGTCTCATGCATAATTCATTATACGCTGAAATATTTCGTGAATAAAATATTAAAAGCAATAATTACTCAATAGTAAATTATCTTATGCGATTAAGTATTATATAGTTTCAGCATTTTTTCATTTCAATTTTAAATAAGTATTTAGTACTCTAACAAACATAATAATTTTTTATTAACAAAAAAAAATAGTCAAGACGTGTTAGAAAATTTTAACGAACATAAAATATTTGGTTCTACCATAAAGTCTAATGATTCTTTTCATACATTTACCAGAAAAATTCCGAAGTAATTAATATAACTTCAAAGATAAAATGTTATGTCGAATATTCATGCTACTTTATTTTCCATTCGATACCCTCATTCCTAATGTTATTTCCCTACGTTAATAAGAATATTTCAAACTAAAGGTATGTGGACATACAATAATTACAATTATAGTATTCGAAATGCAATCACTCTAATAACGAAGCAAAATTTCAGTAGATTCTCAGTGTGCCTTATGCCCCCAAATTTAGATTCTACAAAAAGTTAAAGCGGCCGAGTTCTTTCTCGACGGTTTTCTGCTCCGAAATTAGTATCTGCGAATAAAAAGAAGGCACTAAAACACTGGGTGCGCGGCGTCTCTTCATTAATCATGTAAGCGAAGTTTGTAACAGAAGTACGCCATTGAGCGTATCGGACACTATTTATAGTATAAATATGTATATTTACTTCCTTATAATTTTCCACGCAAGTAGCTTTGTAAACAAAGTAAAGAGGCATTCGCGTAGTGTTAATCCAGTAATCACAGGCGATCAACACGTCTGTGTAAATAATAAATAATTAAAGCAGCTGGTATACATATTTATCAGTCAAGTGACGGCGCGCGTACAATCCCCGTAAAATTCCCAAGAAAACCACAATTATTCGTCCCCCGTTCGATCGTTCAATGCCCTTTGACTTTCGTTGCAAGCTTTCGCGTGTGGTAAGTTTCGTGCACACGTAATTTCGTCGCGCACGTGTTCCCGCGATTACACAACAAAAATTCGTCGTAACTTTCTGAAAGCTCGAATTCGACGCCGCGGCACGAAACGCTGGTCACGTGACAACCGCGATGTGTATACATATATATGCACACACGGAGAGTATATAAACACATCTATGTACACTGATACAGAGGATAAAACGAGAGAGCAAGACGAAACGTCGGCTCGGTGGGGGAGGGCAAGAGAGAACGACGAAATACCAAAATATCTCTGTTACACAGGAGGCGTGAGTGTGTGCGGTAGTTCGGCCGTTCGATGATAGAAAGCACATGCCCGCCGTGGAGAGGCGAACTGTCAAATATCCGATGCGTTTCGTTACGAATGCCGTGAAAGCCACGGAGGCCCGATAAAAGCATTCTTCGTCAGAGATCGAATCGATATCCGGTGTAACGGTTGATCGTACACGCGTCTCTGTCCGTTAAGTAACCCTTAATCCCACCGCGCGTGAATGCTCCGTTTTCCTGTGCCGTCTGTCCCACTCCAAAGAACGGCCCGGTCCGATTGTTTGTCTCTATCCCGCATCGGCAACACACACAACACATCTCCTCCCGCGTTCTCCCTTTCCCCCCCTCGTCGCGTTGTCTGACCACTCTCGTGCTTTCCTACGAATATACACATGCACCCGGGCCGCCCCCGCCGCACGCACAAGACCCATTTATACACGTGCAAACACCACACGTACACACGGAGAGAAACGTGAAACCACGGAGAGCACAAAGCACAGGTTACTGTGTGCAACTTTTCGATCCCGTAGTGCCGTGCAACAGAACGCAAACGTATCCGGAGAGGAAAGCCGGGGTTGATAGGAAGAGACCTTAACCTATCGGTGGTTAAAGGCCGGGGGGAGGGTTATTCGAAGCGGCTCAAAATAAAAATATCGACTGATCAGAGAGCACACGAACGTTCCTTTCCGCCACTTTCGCGATTAATTGTCTTACCTGCTTGACTAGTGGGAGTAGTGTCTGTTCTATGCTACGGGTCTTAATCTCTAGGGTGCTTGGGTCTAGGGGCTCGGGTGTCGCCATGATTCGAACACAACTCTGCGCTCCGCGGACTCGAGCCGAGCCTAGAGAGTTCGTTGCACCCCTCTCGCTTCTCCGTTCCGTACCACTAACCCCGCGCGACGACCGCCAGGCCATACCACTTATTTCCCTAGACCTCCCCCTCTACCCGTGGCCGTCGACCAATCGTCGCCCAGCTGACAGTCGACGCGAGCGACATGCCGCCACGATGCGGTGAAACTTCCTCAGCGTGCAGCCAGGCGCCGGGGTATTTACACGGAGCGCCACGGTGACATTTTGTGTCGCGTGGAGGAACTACGTGGGATTCGATTTCATTTGGTGTAGCCAGATATTTTAACACTAGACTACCAAAGCAATCGAAATTACTGGTTAGCATTGTGTTATAACGGTGATTAAAATGTACAACTATGCAATTTCTCAAATCTTTCACAATATATGGTAATGCGCAAGTAAAAAAACTAGTTAGTTTACAGATTTGTATATTTTCAAAAGTTTGTCATGTTTATCGATCCAACAGAAATAGATTCACGTGTATCGTCGGTAGTTCTAAAGTACGAATGTGTACAGGAATATAGTGAGGATGATGCGATTAGAAGAATGATGGGATGAGATGTTCTCAAAAGAGGAAAACCCAAACGTGTGTTTACGCTGATTTCAAACCCCAATGAGCATACGTAAGTACAAAAACGATTTTTTCTATGCAGTATTGAAAGAATATAGATGTCGCCACCAAGGAACGTCGAACGTAAATTGTATTTTACATACTGACAGAAAACTAGAATGCTATACTTGACAATGGGCTGAATGTAATGCAAGAAAGAATCTGTGATTTCAAATATTCTTCCAGTTTAGGTGTTATTATAAACTTTTGAATTTGAAAATTTATATAAGGAACTATACAGTATTTTTGGAGGACTAAACACTTCGATGAAACGTTTGAACAATTCAATTCTCTGCAACCCTTAACCAGGGACCCTCGGCACCGATATGTTAATTGCCAATTTTGTTTAACTTATAATTACTGGAGCTTAATCTACATTCATGTAACTTTAAATTCCGTGCTTGAAAAAAAGATTGGTAATTGGCAAGCCGTCAATAGGAGGTTGAAAACTTCGTAACGATCAATGGCGATTCCAAATTTTTCTTTGTAATTCTTTCTAACGTATTACTGGATATTAATCTGCGTTCATCGAGCGTTAAATTTTGTGTTTGGCGAAGGAAGAGCTCCATGAGAATATCGTAAAGGATCGATTCTTCCCCAACTTTTAATGCAGGCACCATGACCCCCTTGTGGATCAGTTACGATTTCAAATATACCTTTAAAATTGTTCTTCTTAGGGTCAATGCATGACAAAGGAAATGTTTCACAGGGAACGACAGAAAAATATATACTTTCAGTTATGTACAGTGCACCGTCATATTTTTCATTTAAGAATCACAAAAATAATTTAAATTTTGACTTCTTTCTTACTTAAAAAACCGTTTTCCATAAGATAGACTTCATAAACAGTTGTTTGGTAATATTAAAATGTCTACTGGATTGAACAAAAACGGCGCAATGATCGAATATTTAGCAAATTAACAAATTCAGCGCGTAAATGTACATTGTGGTACCATCTACGGTAAACCTCTCAAGCTACTAACGAATTAGTTATACTTTCATTCGCTAGATGGCAAATCGATGCATTTATTCATCCCTTATTTGGAATTACATAAAATATATGATTATGTATTGTGCGACTGCTGATGTCTTTTTACTGGATTTAGTTTTAAAAGAATCAATATTCCGTACTCAAAACGTATCTTTCAATGCAAATCAATACGATTTTCTCAGATTTTTTCTATGTTTGCATGATAACAGCAAATGATCCAAATATACACTTTTAAAGCAAGAATATTTCAGCTAGTTACTAAAATAAATGGTACTTAGAAATTTTTCACAGTATAAGAGAGAGCTCTTAATTTTTTGGTAACTTCCAGGTTGCAGGAGTGGAATGGATAATGATAATATAATATTTTCATCGTCGATGTACATTGAGGTATGGAAACATTTCCTATTGGATAATATTTCATGCATTTTGTTTTAGAATCCTGAATTAATGGCACAATAAATTTTATAGACTAAATCGCAACATATATTTAATATACTATTATTATTCTTTCCATGACAATTTTATATACAATTATTATGTTTCAACAAACATTGGATAATTGCTGCTAATCAGAGCGTTTTCACATATGTTTAACGAGATGTGTCGCTAATGAACAATTAATTATATTAGTCATAGATTACAAGTTAAATTCGTTTTAAATAGAAATATCATAACACGCGGTAAAACCATCGAAACTTCGAGAACGAAATTTTTTTTTGAACACTATCAAACACATCTAAGTCTTTTGTAAAGCTACACATGACTAGTTCTAAATTAAGGTTAGTATTGAAACGTGTCTTAAGAGGAAGCAGCAATCAATTGTCAAGTGAATACGATGTAATACATAATTTGTTTAATTGCTACGAATCAATTCGAAGTAAGATATTTCTAAATAAATAAGTAATGACAAATTATAAACAGAAATGAACGAAGAAGTCAGGATAAAATATACAAAATGAAGTATGTGCTGGCAAATTAAAACATACATATGTCATAATGTCGATTACATTTCTACCAAAAACTTCCAACATCATCTGCGTATAAATAGAACTATGTAATGCTGCTTCCATGTACAGGGTCTTCAAATGATTCAGGAATTTACAAATCAGTAATGGTCACAAACATAACGAAACAATATGGAATTAACGTAGACTCTCGATTGAATTCCACAAAATTAAGTATTCGAAGTTCATGTATGACTACGTATGTGTACTTGTCATAATTGCTTGTAACAAGCAAAAATTATGTAGCTATAAAAAAGAATCTAAAAATAATATGCTTCTCCAAATATTTAAAGAAACATTTCTCCTTCAAAATGGCAAATACGATCTTGACTTTCTGAACACCTTCCAACACGGACCCTGTACGTTTACTCACTGTCCTGATCAACTTCTTCTATCTTTACGAAACCATTAATCTAATTGCACATACATCACCTTTCTAAGGAAATTTGAACGTTCAGGCATCACGTAGCGTTATTTCTTCACATTAACGAGTTTATTTTGATTCGGTGCCAAAGGTGCTCTTCTTTTCACATGTTTCTCAGGAACCTTGTCCTTTAACACTGGAACTCCGTTAGACGCCTGTCCCCCTTTTCTCTTTCTCAAAGACTCGGTAGGAAGATATTCGGCTGGCCTTAGTAGCTGCCTAAAATTGTATGGCCCGTTCAAATCTTCCGGATCATAATCAACCTTGATGATTTCTTGCCGTTTCTGAACGACAGTGGGCCTCAGAAGTTGTCTAAGGTCGGCTGGAATGCCAAATGTGTCATTTCCCACTTCTTTCCTAACGACTAATCGACCATTGATAGCATTCTTGTCGATAAACTTCCGGTTTATTCCATTTTTACCATCCACTTCAGTTAACCGACTCTTCCCTAGGTCGCCATTTTGTTTTGTCGCTTCGACTCCTTTCGCGCCATCGTTCGGATTGTTCTTAAAACCGTTATTCAATCTGGGTTGCCTTTTCGATTCGACTTGCTGACTTTCGAATTGACTGGCGACCATTTTATTAATAAATAAACCGTCTTGACACCCGTTTATGATGTTCCGGTACCGGTTATTGTATGGTGGATACCCGTTAGCTTTAACCACTTGGCCATTCACAGGTGGATGTTCGTTAACTGAGTTCGAATGGCCATTAATCGTTGGTTCATGGCTGTTCAGAGGAGTTTGACGATTATTCACGTGTCCGTTAACGAAGTTTGGATGTCCATTCAAAAAACTACAGTGTCCGTTCCCTGCGTTCTGACGTCTGTTTACGGAAGATCCGTTGATGTTACGCTGGTGACCATTGTAACGTTGTTGATGTTCGTTCATATTGTTGTGTTTGTCAATGAATCTGGATCGTAGGCCATTTGAATCGTTGATATTCGAAGAGTTGACTCCAGGTTGCTTATGTTGTTTATCCTCACGGGACCACATGTTGCTGTTAGCCGCGTGATTAATCCTTGTACTGTAAGAAAAAAATCCCTTGTAATTAAATTGCTATGGTAGTTTCATCTGTCATCGGCTGCAAAGCTACTGAATAATTAAGGATATAAAGAGGATTTTATTGACAATTGTGCTTATAAATGGACTATTGATTTTACGGATTACTAGAATATACGATTATCTAGAATTGAATACAGCTTATTAAACTTCTAACTTAGACTGTTATTTTATTTCTAGGTCGATAGAACTCTTAACAGATTGGAGTTTCTGTATAAGTCCAATCTTTGTAAAATAATCAATAAGAATCCATATTTGCATAAACATCCGTAGTCTACTTATAAGAAACAGAAGTATAAGCATAATTTTTTCTATCTATTTTATTTAACTACAGTATCCCCCGTACATAATCACGCTATACCACTCACATAACGCGTTCATGAAGAAAGAAGTTTATGAAAGTGGAAAAACTAACAGCTAATGAATGTTGTGTTATGCAGTATTTATTTCGTTAAAGGGAGCGGGTTCTAACTCTATAGAAATTTTATGGGGGTGGGTCTGTGAGTCAAAGAGTTCATAATAAGACATCGATTCATTCTTGATCTTTAGTAGTATCACCTCGAAACAAAATAGATTTAGAAATATGGATTTGCATAATTACTACGTCAGAATATAATTAAGTATTTCGAGCGTTCTGATACAATCTACGAATGGTATAATTGTATGTTACCTGGAAGTTTGCCATGATACCTCTGGCAAAGTGTAGGAACACAATAAAGAATTAGTAACTCAACTATTATGTCATGGTTATTATATCAGCGATAGTTTGCAGCCTATTATAAAATACTCAGCTTGAAATGTGAGGAAGTGAATAATTAATGAAAGTTGTCGAGGGATATGTAAATAGGAATTTAAAGGAGCACAAAGTAGAAATGAGGGGGATGAAACTGTTGCGGAAGTTTGGGCCTACCTCACTTTGCCCTGATTCTCTGCTTGCTGCGACGGATCGCCTGGGTTTCTCAAATCTCCTGTAATTAAACCTCTCATAATCTCCTCGCGGAATGAATATTTCACCTGAAAATTTTTTTTGGCTGATATCTTTCAACCTGAATTAGAAATCGTATAACAATATACAAATAGACGAACTTACGAAAATAACGTGAGAACCGCATACAAATTTTATTCTAGCCTACTGTCATGAAATATGTTAGGGTGCTCTCGAAAATATTGGGCAATTTCGATCTCTTTATTTCATGTTATTTTTTTATTATAGTAAACTACACTTTGTTTTATTTATCACTTATAATGAGTAGGTTGAAATTCTGAAGCACGTAATATTTTTTGAAACACCCTAATAAATGCAAAAGATAAAAAAGTTTACAGAAATTCTATATACGACGGTGATAGGATGATCGTGTAGAATTTGTGAAATTAATACTTGGATGTAAGTTATCATGTACAAATACTAAACGCACTACAGATAAAATATTTATAATTGTATACCTCTTACGTATGTGAATAGAATTAATGCGTAGTCACTTTAATAACACAATGATTCAACAATAATACTACCAGCAAAGTATGATTCATGCGTAGAATGTGGATTTTATGCGTGTATAAAATGTCCAATCGTCTAAAATTCCAGGCAGAAAATAAATTCTTTTTTGCTCCCAGTTTCCCGGGACTAATCACTAAAATTGTATATTTGCATAAATATTCAATCTGTCCATAACTAACGATGATAGAAAAAGTTTTAACAAGACTGAAACTAACGTACCGGAACCGAGTAGGAAATAATTTGCACGCATTTTCTATGGACAACGAGTCCATAATGTTTTTCAAACTAACAAAATACTATCTCATTGTTCCGTTAATTATCACGTTTCATTTAGTTGTTATATCCGATAGTTTACACATTTGGTGAATACGATGAATATCAAGCTACAATGGCCAAATTTCTCCAAACGTTCCGCCATTTTCAAACCAAAATTCTTCTACGAATAATTAAACTCAGATCTACGGTATACCTCGACAATGGGTGAAGGTCATTTTCTAGCTGTATCAACGGTAAGTCCCAGCCAACTTCGTCGTCTTCGAAGTCCGAACCACTTCCGATGCGAGTGCCAAAAGCATTCGAAAATTGAGCATACGAATTTCCCATTCGAGGAAGATGAAAGAGAGAGACCGATCACCACAGAACGTTCAATCTATTTACCTGCTCATCTCGTTCTTCAGATCGTGATAGTACTTGATGGTCTCCTCCCCTTCCACTTGATTTCCGCTTCGATACTGCAGAATCGGCTGCACCATGTTGAACCCTTCCGGGCGGACATAGTCCGGAGGTGGTTCATCAATATCGTTCAATCGAAGACCAGGTTTGTTGTGGCGTAGGTTCTTGTGCACTTCTTGATTCTTCATGTGGACCTTTGATGCGATAAATGAAACTTTGAAATTGCATGGAATGAAACGAATTATCATACAATCACTCATAAAGGATAAGGGAGACAAAAGTGCCCTTAAACCGAATTGTACTTATCATGGATTATTTAATACCTTACCAAGTTACAACAATCAGTACTGAAAATTGGTGCATGGAAAATGAAACGTGGTTGATAAACGGAAGGAAGAATGGGCCAGCGTTTTGACTTTTAACATTTTTACAAAGCAAAATTCGTTTAGTTCGGTCAGAATACAGTCAAATTTGGATCAGTCAGAAATTACACAATCCAGGAACGAACTACAAAAACCATTTACTCTAACGTATTCATATTAAAATACGCTTCATTACACCAGATACAGTAATTCAGTTGTTTCGGTAAGACATAAATGGCACTTTCCTGTGCGATATTCTGTGGCAATGACAAAAATCTTGTGCCCTAACAAGTGTCATTCTTGGATTAGTTTTTCATTCAATAAAATACTACTTTTGTCTTCGTTTGAAGTGAAGTGACAAGCGACGTTGTTTCTAAGATGTTTTATTTATACATATTTATTCACTCACATTCTGAGAGAAGTGTATTAGGTCAGCTTGTCTCAATTTAGGATGCACCACATCCCTCACAAGCGATTTCCTCTTCTTGGCATCTTCTTCGTTGTTGAACCATTGCTGAACGATCGACGCAACGTCCTCTTCCTTCAGACCCTCCCGCAGCAATGCCTTATGCGCTTCGTCCCGGTCGTTGTAGCAGTTCAAGATCCGCTTGCAACGTTCTTCGAGTTCTAGGCCGAAACGTTTGCGAATAGTATAGCTTCTGAAATCTACGAATACGGGGATACGCTGTAATTATAATCTAGCAAGCTTTCTAATTCACAACTTACGACTTTGTGTGACGATCGTGGCATCATCTTCCTTCGAACCTTCTGCCTCTGCTGTGTCTTCGGTTCCCTCCTGCTTTTCAGCTTCAGCTTTCTTTGCCTGTTCCTCTGTTATAAAAGGATCAGGACTACTTTTTAATATTTTTATTTAATGAAACAGTATATTTAGATTCCCGTGATTTATGAAGTCTGTTAAACTGACAAGACAGACGAAGAGATTTCTTTTGCTCGTCGAATAATTACCTTTAGCTCTTTCTATAGCGGTCGCCTCTTCTTCTTCCTGTTTCTTCTTCATCTCTGCTATCAAATGCTTTCGCGACAACCATCCGCGAATATGACGTTGCAAAGTAACAACAGACACAGCGAACTGCCACTTTTGCTTCTTAAATCGAATCCTGGCAAGCCATCGGCGGACAAACGCTTGGACCATGATAATTTTCTTAAGCTGTTCCTCGTACATTTTCGAGAGGAACTCGACGTGGTAATATTTGAGAAAGACTTTCGTTCTGCCCAACGCCCATCCGTCCATTTTCAAGCGAATAAGAAGAAGACGACAATTGTCCCGATTCGCTACCACACGTTCGTCGTAACCAAACGCCAAGAAACAATATCTGCAATTTTAATGTAACATCGAAACTTTATAAGGGACCAAACACCGGATGTAGATAACTATATCGACATATAATCACACGGGTCAAAACTTATATCGTTATCAACTGAAATGTTTAAAAAGTTCAAAAGAAAGGGAGAATTATACCCTTCAGATCAATTTCCTATTATTTTTTTATAAGAATTTGGAAGTATACCATTGTTTAATTACTGATAAATGTCGTTAATTCTCAACCAACATAAGTACCGAGAAAACATATTTCATATGATATGATGTACCTAATGCCAAATCAAACTTTAAACATCGCTTTAAATTTATTCTAAAAGGATTCGAATTTTATTTAAATAAATTGCTTATAATAAAAGTTAGAAACGGTTTATATAAGAGAAAATAAATCTCTGTACATGCCTCTTCAGGAATTCGTTGAATGGTATTCGATGCGAGAAGCCATTCTGCCTAATTCTTATTGTCTCCAGGACACCAGTGTACCTCAGCTGTTTCACGACCTTTTCTTTGTCGAAGAATCGTGGACTTCTTGAGTCGTTCGGTTTTATACAACGCACAAATTGAGGTGACCCCGATACCATCTTCTGCAGCAGATCCATAAGAGAATACCGGAAGTACGTTGCCACTGTTTGTTGAGCCCTGGATTGCGAGGCCAATCCTCGACTAGAATAACGCTCCTAAAATAGAACAGCAACATCATATATAATAGCAACTTTCAAATTTTTGTGGCAATCTCACATTTAGAATCTGGGTTAGTTATATTTTTATTTTAACGATAATACAATAGAACGTATGCAGTCTAAATTAATAGAGATATTTAATATGTATACACCGTACAACGATTAATTAATAGGTTAAAATTGTAAGAATTGGAAGACAATTTTTGAATATTTCAGTTGCGATTACCTTAGTATTCTGATTCGAGTGAGACAATTTTCTCGAATCAGTCTCATGAACCGCCGAGTAGAGGTTACCAGTCTTCGTAATCGGGCATTGGAACAAGAAGCGAACCATGTCATACTGAGACTGTCTGACCAGTTGGATCACTTCAGGCGGCAGGAAGTTTCTGTTCTTTTCCAAGAAGCCTTCCGCTTGGTAAACCACGCGTCCTGCGAAATGGTGTACCGCGAAACAAACAGCGTCCGATTTCGGTCGTACGTAGAACTTCGACTTGATGTTGCTGTGGAATTTCTCTGTAACATACCAGACAGATTTAAAACCACCAAAGACATACCTACTACTATATTATCGGAAATATCAAATCATGAACATACCGATTAAAGATTTATTCGTGGCTCTAGGAAAGCGACTTTCTTCGTCCAACAGGGCTAAAAGCCCCATAGGTTTACTCAACAACATATCCAGAACAGGTCTGTTATCGGAGAATTCGACCAGATCCACTGGAATCCCTTCTGCCATATATTCCTGCTGTTCCCATGTGAAAATATGCTGATTAAAGTAATATTGTATCTGTTCATTCGCGATGTTAATGCACAGCTGCTCGAAGGAGTTCCTTGGGAAATTCTCGAAACCGAAAATATCCAGGAGACCAATCGCCAACGGCTCGTAATTCGGGGCATGATTGAAGCTCAGCAAGCAGTTGATTTGATTCACCATCCAATCGAACAAGCGACCGTATAGTCCTTTGGCCATGGCGTCTCTCGCTGCACAGGCCTCGGCTACCGTATTGTGTCGCGTAATTGTTTCCCCCCTGGTCATAACTGAGTTCGACGTTAATGCTTCTAGAAGATCGTTTTCCTCGATACCGAGTAACTGTGACACTGTAACGGATTTCAACAATCATGAACATTTCTCGTCGAGAATAAATTTGCAACGGTGAAAGGGCAAAGTCGGGATAAGGGAGTAAAAAGTGCAGTTTGCCCGAATTGGACGATTCAGCAATTTACAAAGAAATCATAAAAAATTGAGGGACAATACTTATGGTAATATGTCGTTATCGTAAAAAGATGAATCTTTAAAACTTCTATTAGAAAACATTTCCGACGTTTTTAATTTTCTAAAGCTAGGATTTTCACCTGAAAATTAGAAAAAATTCTTTAATATGTACCCTGCTAACTACAATGTCTTTGCAATGATTTTTTGCAGAATCTTTGAATGTGATTAAGCAGAGAAAATAGAGGAAAAGCGGATAATTCGAATTTTCCCTGTTACTGCTGGGTATCTGGTCGAGATAGAGGATTAAAAATTGATACAACCCTTTTTATCTTGGTTAGCTATCGAACGGAGCCTCACCAGCCCAATTCAACCTAAGAGTACTTTTGACTCCCTTATCCGATTCTACCCTTCGTGAAGAGAAAACTTCATTACCTCTATGAAGCGGTGCCATATCAATCACCCGACTTTTATTATCGGTGTTATCTTCGCTAGCCACTTCGGCGAACTCAATGTCGCCAAGATGAAGCACGGCAGCAAGGATACGGTAAACCGTGTCTACTTCGCTATCTTGGAAACCAAGTAATTTGAAGCCATTCTTTAACTGTTGGAATTTCTCGATATGAGTCTGAGATGTTTGACTATGGTCCATAAGATATCGATGGTGTTTTCGAAGGTTTCCGTCCAGATAGAACTCCGATAGACGATTGTCTGCGTCCAAGCCATCGTACATGTAATAGAATATGTGAAAGTTGCGTTCTCCCCTGAAATCATTTTCGAAAAATTGATTAAAGAAATTAATAAACATTTTCTTTTTTATTTAATGCAATTTGAATATCCTCAATACAATGTATCACGGATGACTTACTCAGCTTGAGCCACGACCCGCGATTGCTCCAACAAGTACACAGATATTCGTGCACCGGTGACTTTTCCACCTTTCGTCATCGTTAAGTCCAAGTATTTCCCAAACCTCGACGAGTTGGCATTGATCCCCGTAGTCGCGTTACCGAAAGCCTCCATTATTGGATTTATCTGAAGAATCCTTTCTTCTAAATTACGATTAGGAGCTTTACTCAGGTAAACCAATTGCTTCAACAGCAAGTTCGCGCTTTCGGTTTTTCCTGCCCCAGATTCACCGCTGATCACGATCGCTTGATTCTGTCGCTGATGTAGCAACGCCTGGTACGCGGCATCAGCGACCGCGAATATGTGGGGCGGATTGTCCGACCTCGCTTGGCCTTTGTATCTCTTTTGCTCCTAAATCCACGAAGCGGATGCTTAATCGACTAAATTTTAGTGGCAGGATTTCGAGATTCTTAAACTCTTGAAAATCGATATTTTACAGCACATGATCGTTTAAATTACTACTCATAATAGAATAAAACTAGGTAATATGCCCAGGTTGCCAAAATGTGATTGAGTGAGCTTGACAAATTTGATTTTCGATTTTTGAACAATTTGCAGTGAGTAATATATAAATTCAACTTTATTAATTCTATTAGGTATTGTTCTATTTTTGTACCTAGTAGTCTTGTCTCTTTATTTTGTTTAAAATTTTGTAATGTTCCATTAAAAATAATACAAAGCGGTGACTTATTTATATAGGAACGTTCTGTCACGTGGGTGTTCCATTTTACCCAGGTATTGTGTTACAAAATACCCTGCCTAAGGTTAAAAAATAAGTTATTTTCTTCTATTGTTTGTTACGTTTTGATAATAATTAAAGTAGTTGTGAAGATATATAAAACATTAACAAACTTGAACAGATAAAATAAAGAAGTAATGAAAAATATCTCTTTCATCGAGTTTTCCCTAAAAATAGGTCGTATTGTCCAGTTTTAAAAACATCTTCCAAAATGATTTGTAAAGGCAAAAAATACACCCTGTATTTTTCACTCGACGTTATTGTATTTTCAGAAAATAAACTTCATAATGGACATTTATAAAAGTACTCACGATTCCAGTGTACAGTCCCAAATTTGTGAATGGATTGACTGCGACAAGTATGTCTCCGATATAAGTGTATATTTGACCCTGTTCGTATCTGTGTTCCAGTTGCTCCACAATACCACTTTCCGATAGCATATCCAAAGCAGCCAGATCATCCATGTACATTTTCTGCGGACTAGTTTTCCTATCGGTCTTTAGCTTCCCGTGTTTGGTCGTCACTTCCGGTTGCCTGTGCACCCTACCGTCCAACCTCTGTCTACAAATCTCTTCCTGAATCTCATTTCGAATCTGTTCCACGCGTGATTCGATACCCATCAACAAGGGGTGCTCTTTTAATTCGCTTGCGAACGGCCTATGCTCCAAATCCTTCACCAGGCATTCCGTAATGAAGTCGACCATTTCAGGCGAATGGATATCTGGGTTCTTCAATGCTGGAGGTGGGTTTCTAGGGATTTGAAAAAGTGCCCTCATAGGGTGCAATTCCGATAGCGGTGGATCGCCTTCCGCCAATTCGATCGCTGTGATCCCGACCGACCATACGTCGCAACGTGAATCGTAAGAGGAATCCAGTTGTTGCTCGCAAGCTATTACCTGTTCGAAGTTTAAAGTTCGTGACAACTGTTGTATTACAGAAAGCGTATTCCATTTTAACAATATGAAACATGAATTTACTTTGCTTGAAATAAACATGACTTTCACTTTATGATGTATCAATCGAAACATTTTTTATTATTGATCATAATTTCCTATTGTTTGTAATACACGTTCGACATGTTCAGCGTATGGAAGATTAAGATTTCAAATTTCTTAAATTTCGTTAAACTACTTTTTGTATGAATAGAAATTATTGCGAAACAAGATTATATATATTCTACTATTGGGTTGACTAGGAAGTAATGTCGAATTTTTGCTGTACACGATACCTTTTTTTACACATATTCTGAAATTTAACACTTCAACGCGTCGCACAAAAAAAATCATTAAGATTAGGTTACATTTACTCAAAATGACCTTGTTTTAAAGATTATTGACGAGAATGTATACATACTTCCAAGAAGTTATGCTTTTTTATTTCCGGAAAAGGAAGAATGCGGAACAACCGGCAAAAAAGATTTCCTATGTGTATAACGATGGTAATGTTATTTAACGAACAGACAACAAAAAGCTTAATTGTTCGAAAGTACACCATCTCATCACTCATTTTTAAAACAAGGTCAATTTAAGATAATTCAATCTAATGATTGTTCTTCTCCAACAACGCGTTGAAATATCAGTTTTCAAAATATGTAGATATTTTATTAGTTAAGAGCAGTGTTTTGTAATTAAAAAAGAAAACAAAAAAGCATTACCTACTGCAGAATTCCACATTACTTTTTAATCAACCCCATACATTAAGCTATGTATACAGGGTGTCCCAAAATAGTTGTAAGTTCGTGGACAGGGTGATTCCTGGGATGATTTGAAACAACTTTTTCATTACCGAAAAAATTGTCAGAAGCTTTCTTAACGAGATATTAACGAAAATCCCCCACCAATCAGAGCGCGAGTCTGTCAGCTGAACTGCTGCGGTAACGTTGACTACACGCTACCGCGAGAGCTCAGCTGGCCGACTCGCGCTCTGATTGGTCGGGGTTTTTCGTTAATATCTCCTGAACAAATCCTCGGAGAATTTTTTCGCTAAAGAAAAAGTTGTTTCAAATGATTCCAGGAATCGCCCATTTAAAGGATTTACACCTATTGTGGGACACCCTGTATACATAAAACAAAACGCAATTTGTAAAGATAAATAACTCGAAGTTCATATGCGATCTATTAGACTTTAGGTCAGACTAGACTACAGAATGTAATCATCAGACATTTCGTATGTTCGACTGAATACTGTTGACAGTACCTACTTTACTATTAATCTCTACTTTTTCTATTCCTTGACACCTTCATTACGCAACAAAAGTTAGCGAAATATAATGAATATTGTACCTCACCTCAGGAGCCATCCAATACGGTGTGCCGACAGAGGTGTTCTTCCTAGCGAGCGTCGCAGCGAGATGCGAGGAGACACCGAAGTCAACCAACTTAACACCCGCGTCCTCCGTTAGCAAAATGTTGTGTCCCTTAACGTCACGGTGCATGCAGTGATTGGTATGCAGATAAATTAACGCTTCTACCGTCTCCTTGATAATGTAAGCAATTTGGTCATCCGTTAGGCGCCTTCCTTTTTTCTTCAGACCTTGCACTAGATCGGTCACCGATCCCCCTGTGCACAGCTATAACCAAAATTTTAATTCAAAATTAACATTCATCGAAATCTGAAATTTAGTCCAACTTTTTTAGAACAGCGTTAATGGTTTTTATGTACCATAATTTAGGATCACCTTGACTCAGTTTGGGTAACTTTATCCAATGTCACAAAATGATCATTTTCGATTTTGTTACTCTTTTGCAGGTATTTTTACGTGAAATACCTTTTCACGTAAAAATCAATTTAAGTCAGCAAATTTTGATAACATTTGAAATAGAAATTCAGCAACCCGACTGAGACAAAGTTACCTCAACTTACAGTATCGAATTGTAATAATGATAGGTAACCAGGAAGTCAACGTAAATGTTTAAGATACTGAAGGATATCATTCAAATTGTACATCCGTCACGCTTTCCCAAGTGTATTATGAGACGAGAATTATAGCGACGATACCTCCATGACGAACCATAATTGATCCTCTTCCTGGGCAGGCCTTGCTCTTTTCAGAAACAGGCCATGAAAGATTGGGATGTTCGGATGAAGGCTGAGGTCCCTAAGCACGAGATACTCCTCTTCGATTTCTTCGATGTTATCAGCGACGTTCTCCAGTATCTTGATCGCAACCTTGTTGCCGGTTTCGTTGCAGTGCGCGGAATAAACTTCCCCGTACGTTCCTTCGCCGATTAGATCCTCCAGATCGAAACGATCGCCGGGGTCCGGAATCACGTCGAAATTCACGTGCTGACTAAGGCCGTGGTACGCCATATTGGTCCCACCACCGGTCATTTCTGTAACAGGTTGACGTAAAATTAATATTCTCGAACAGGTAAAGTCTGATTGTGAAAAATGGAAGATTAAAGTTTATTCAAGACCTGCTGTGTTCGTGTGAGACATCTAGAGAGACAGAAGTAATATGTCTCAGACTTTGATATTTTGTATGCTATAGAGTAAATCCTCGATAAGTGTTCGAAAGCTCCTTGGCATTGAACATTAAATATTTTATAAACTAATGGCCATATGCGGCTGAAACAAATACCATTGCTTTCAGAATTCCAAGCTTTATCACTGTGCTAAACCTCATTAGAAAGTCAGCGTTACACCTGGGGACGTTGCCTTGTCAGTGCCGAGGAGCCTTCGCGTACTCATCGAGGATTTACTGTAAATTTCTAATTGTAGGTGTATTGGCTAAAAGGGAAGTTTTTATTGTAAAACTAATTTTAACCCTAGAACGACGATGAATGGCTCTTTTTGACTCTACTTTTTAAGAATTTTGTCCGACTCAACAGCTTCCAATGACTAACTTAACCCTCATCCGGATCGAAGAGCTTTTGGTGCTGCTTTACCATTTCATAATGAACAATATAATAATATATACAGAATGGGTCATGTTGATAAACATTGCCACGTAAACTCCGCGGTCTTACGAAAATTTTTGCTAGTATTGAATCTCCAACTTGATATTACGCACAGACCATTTTCAAGACACAAAGTAAAATTATTCGTTAATTATTAGCTTTACGGCTCAAACAGGGTTTTACTCTCCCTACAATGTATACTTTAAAAGTTATTCAGGGTGAACAAGTTGCGTGAACCACCCTATATAATAAATAATTAAAAATTTCATGTTGTTATTTTAGTAAGTAAAATAACTGAATTGAAACTTGTGATATAGTTTGAAATGATTAATTTTACTTATTCTGTACTGGGAGAGTCTGAAAATCTTCTCCGTTCTATCCTGACGAAAATTCAGTTTGTAGTTGATTATATTCATTCGAACGAAAAGAAAGCCAATTCACAAACATATCTGTTCTAAAATACATTCAGAAGGAATGATATAAGAGGGTCCCAACGGACTCACATTTCCCTGTTAGCATTACCATCAAAACCATCCACCTTTCCAGTGTTAATGAATACAAGTGCTATAAATTACTAGTAATACTTGAGTTGTTACTGGACACATTTTCCAACCAATACACGTAATTCATTATTAATAGGGGTATAAATATCTGAAATAATTTTTAAGTCCCCATCTTAGAAAGGAGAAACTATTGAATATTGCTGGGCAACGGTGTACGTTACGGATAAAGAATGGGAAAATTGCGATATTAATGTTTTACACCTTGCATTTAGTAGCAATTGTACAGTAGATGAGTGGAAGCTATAGATACGAAGCAATTTCCAGGTGAAGCCGTATAGAAAGTTGCGGTTTACCGCGAGAAAAGAACTTCTCGTTCTTGTATCGTACATGTATCGAATGGTACAATGATATTTTACCGTCAAAAATGTTGATAAAAACGAGAAGCAATGGTTGGAATGTTTCATTTTTAATATTGAAACATTCAAATGGTTATGAAAGAATTCCATAATAAATATACCTACGCAGTAGGTGTACCAATAAGTAATCCACCATTTCTTTTTCATAAACTGACAACGACGTTTAAATTTTAAACATCTTTCCACCCTTTACTTCTTTCACAATGACGACGAACATTCTAGAACAAGGTCAAATATCACTAAAACAGCTCACTCGAAGATAAGTTTATTTACTATTGACAAAGTAGGGTGGATTACTTATTGGTACATCTAATAGATAGACAGTTAACATATTAACAGTGAAATAAAATTACGCATTGTAGTAAAAAAATAATAACGTAATAAAACTGTAAAAAGAACATGTGTTACGCGTATTTTTTTAATAATTACGTCGTGTATGATAAATGCACCATGCCCCGGAGTCTCACTCGGTATAAACTGTTAATAGGTTAAAAAAATACCTAATTTGACAAAAAAACTGAAATATGTAGGATATATCTGATGATCTTGCAGTAAAATATTTTTTTTATGGGTAGCTTCGCGGTCTAGCAAAGCGGGTCTCTAATACGCTTAACACAGAGAAGAGGTCTTCCGTTAGCCCGCAAAGTCGGTTATATAACATACTGTTCTATCTTCTTATAATAATCAGATTTACATTCGAAGGTTCTATTTTTGCAAATCGAACAGACATAATAACCCCTTTCACTTGTCTTCGAAACACACATAAAGTTGACATGAATATTAATTTTCCAAATCGAGAATTTCTCACATTAGATCCATTCAGAGTCTCGTGATAAAAACGACCCTAGTCTATTTTTGTTATTCTCCCCCAGAAGAGTAAACAAATACTCTGGCATCTTTAGGAATCTTAAAAATCTATCAATTTTCCTATCAGAATAAATTAGGACATAACTCATTCTTGATAGTGTTAGGTTCCACTATGTATGTTGTGAGTTATCACAAAAAACCGAAACACTAGACACGGGACGTTTTTGTTATCAGAACCCCCGATACTTATAACGAATTTTAATAAAATTCTGATTTTCTATAAAATATACAACATTCACTGTGACTGTGCACTCGTTTAAAGTGCACCTCCAATGTAACAACCAATCACAGGATTTCTGTAAAAATTTTTGTCCAAAAAATGCTGGTAATTTTCAACGAATTTTACCGCACTACTGGAATAAACCGGTGTCGCAGAGTTGTTCGTTACACGGTTTCATACTAACCGATTATATCACCCATTTCGGTTAACTGTTTCTGACGATCGGGAATTTCAGAGATCACGGTACTTCATTTAAAGCGCAAGTGATTATTAAACGAACCACTGTTCACCTAACCAGGTACCAGATACGACTGGGTCGTTCGTTTTCTAACCAGATACCTGTTAACCCCTTAATAGGATTGGGCTCGGTAAGACCGGCGCACTTCGCACTCAGAAATAGGTCTCGCAAGAAGACCGTGCCACGTGTACCTTATTTCTGTCAGTTTAATTCCCGATCTTGATATTAACTCCGTGATATAACTTCAATAGGCTTACACGTGTATTTTGAATCTGTTATCCTTTATCTTGGGAAAGAAGGGCGCTCAAGAAAAAAAATGGCGTTGATGAGTTTGCCATTAAAAAGAAAATCAGTTTCTCTCATTTGAACTATTATAGTCCCTTTCAGATTCGTATGTCAATTTGCATAAGGAATTTATCTAACATTTATTAGAAGGTATACATATATTACGAGATTATTAAATCAGTATTCGACTAGTCGAGTGCGTGAAATAATTATTATATCCTCGTCAAGACATTTTATTCTTTTTAGTATTCAATTTTGATAGCCTTTGTTATATTCAATAGAATTCTTACTACCTTGTGATGGGTATCATAATTGTATTAAAATTTCGTAGAGCTTTATCAATATTTTGTGACTTTATATGGAATATATCTAGTATATTTAATAAGAAAAATCATTTCATCAAATCGTGTCGAGGCTTTGTTTAGTGAAGTGTAAATAATCATATTAAAGAGTATACATATATATAAAATCATTCTTGGTTATGGCTAATCAATTCTTCTTATTGTGAAAGAAGAATAGTTTTTATGTTCATTATACACAACTAAAATTTCTGTCACGGGCATATTATAATTTATGCACGCTTATTATTAAGCAAAAGTATTCAAGGTATGATAATATCTAGCTATGTCAATGGGAGAAGCCGCCTAAGGATCGAAGCCACTCGTGGTTTCGAATGACATTTTACAACATGAAATTAAACAGGACATTTATGGATCACGAGAGACCGTGTAGACCCGGATAAGAGTAGAAATTAGCTTGTTAATTATTCACCATTAATCTGATCGTGGTGATTTCACATTTTTCCACGACATTCATATCACCTTAGTGGTTACGAGTACTTTTTCCGTATTACTTCAATCAAATTTCTATAAAAACAATTTTTCCGACAATCCCACGAAGAAATTATTTTAATACATTTAAGTCCGGATCATACCAGTACAAAATAACTAAAGGATTTACTTTATTTGACAAACAAATGTAAAAATACTGTAGATACATTTTTAAAAGAAGTGAAAAAATAACATTTTGTAGGGTATACAAGTTCAAGAGTAGAAAAAACAAGTGAATATATGGTTCCATGATAAACGTACAATTCTTTCCTTTGCAAGAGCCGCTAACATGCAATTAAAATTTCCATAAGGCTTGTAAATGTAAATAGAAATACACAGATAACTTCATGTTGTAAGCGAGCACATAAAAGTGTTAATTGTTGTTTGCGATAGTGCATTCAGCGGTGTGAAGTGTGTCAAATGTACGAGTGTCTGTTATGTACGTTCCTTATTTATGACACAATTTGCGCGTAAAAATGTGATTCTGCATTTTAAACGCTTACAGATTGTATGTAAACGCACAACGAACCGTAAGAACTGTTTTTTTTTGTCAAGCGAATGTGTTTCAAACACGCGAGAAACGTAAGTTCCTGATTACTAATTTACTAGATTAATACGTCATATATTAAGAAAGAAATTTTCTTACAAATTTCACATTTTATACGATCTAATTGTAAGCATGAATAAATTTCTATCGGAATGTAATTAAATAATAATATTGATATCCGCATATTAGTCATAATTATTATATGTAATTGAAAAAGGAATCGATATTCTTTTAATATAACATTTCAACAACCAAAAGATAAAAAATCAATTCCACTCATTTTGTAATTTCTAATAAATTGGATTCCTTTTACACGAATTAAATATACATTTTTATTCCTTTCTAATTTAGACTAGTAGATAATATATTATTTAACGAATGGAAAATTATTTAATTGGTGTCTTGTAGTCTTAGGTATTTCAACATATTTTGAATCCATTGAAGGAAATTCTTGTTACTTCTCTGTTTTTAATTATAACGCTTACTTATTTGTGTCACAAGTTCGTAGAACTTTTCTCATAAATTTATTATTTTATTCCTGTTTACTCTGTAACACGATTTATCCTAAAATCCATTTGTTGTAGAATATTACTAGATATCTTTGTAGTACCTCTGTAATAGGTGAAATAAATTTTTTTTTCACTTCCATTTCAATTCGCCAAAACCATTCGTATAAACGGGAACTTACATGAATCTTACTATTCTATATATTATTTTATCTCATCCATTTATCTTCAGGCAACTAAACTCAACTCTCACAGATTCCAACCCAAGGTCCTACAAAAACCCGTCCTTTATCTTGCAAAACTTCAAGATTCACATTTCTCTTAAAAGTGAAAACATCAACGTGAACGTGATCGTCCAAGTTTCGCTGAACCAATGACTCCTGGAAACCGTTATTTATCCGAAATAACAACCAATCATTGTCCGCGGACTAGAATAGGTGAATCCTGTCAATTTCACAGATCGATGCTCCCTGCCACGAATATCTTCCTTCCAAATCGTTTCGAAAGCATTGTCAATTTCATCGGGAACGATGGTTATCGTTCTCGATTATTATCTCCAGTCTATGATAAAACGAACGCCTCGTCTATGGATTTTCACGGTTCGATACCTGCGGCGAACTTACCGATCGTGAACAATAACCAATCGCCGTGCGCGCGATCACGTGGTCGGATGGGTATTAGAGCGAAGAAACCCGACGTGAAATTGGCTTAAAGGCCCCCCTCCCCCGACTGTAAAGTAATGTCTCCTCGAGCTGCGTCAGGATAATCAGCTGCCTTGGACAATACTTGACTGAACCACATTAGGTCGTGCATAAGCCGACGAAGTCACGAACATCGTGGCTTCTCGGTTACAACGGTGCCATTGGCTACGAACATTTCATTATTGACGATTATCGATCTCAATTAGTTCCCTCTTGTTGTTCCTCGCGGAGCTTCTGCGTAGCTTCATGCATCGTTTATTGAGAAGTGAATATTGCAATGTAATTACTTCGAAAAAAGAATATATGAAACTGATGTATGTACATACTAAGGCTTCTTTCTTCGTTACAGTATCGGATAAATATTTTCGGACGAACACCTTTTGCTGTAGTATTTGAATTACTGTCCTGGCTAATTCTTTTCTTAGGTCGACCACGTTTCGATATATTTTCAAATTGACCTCGTTAAATAAATTGTTTTTTTTTTAAATGTACGGTCTATTTGGGGATGTCCATAGATCGAGGAACTGTAGATATTGATACTCTATTTAAATTGTCTATGATTTTTCGTTTGTAAATTTTCAGAAACTTTTGCATTTTACCATCCTGCATGAATGAAATAAAGACATGACATTTTCACGGAACTCATGCTTCAGATTATTATTTATGCTTGTAAATGAAACGTCCGAATACTTTTGTCCAACTAAATATAAATAAAGCTTAGTTTATATTTTGTAATGCGTAGGTATATCTTCATCCTAGTAACACGGTTTAAAATTGGATCACTTTGTGGTGTTCAAGGTCATCTGAAGGTCATAATTCAGGCATGCTCGAATGTATTTTATCATCAGCTGCAAGGTACAATAGAAAAAAATATATTCTTTCTGCAAAGAAATACCAGTTACCTTGAAAAGATATAGAAATATGACCTCAAAAGAATTTTTGTTGTTGTTAATATTCCTTTTTCGAGACCACTCAAAATGTGCTTGAAAGATTTATCATATCGCTAGATAGACAGGGGATATTTATGTGGCCAGTTTCAACTGAGACACCTAGTATAATGTACATTACGGTTTCCTCGCTTAAACGTACAGATAGGTACTACTATAGAAGATAAAAATGATAATGAATCATGGAATTAACAGTTCCATAAAGAGCGAAATGTAGTACAAAGTGGCAAAAACTGATGTATGCGGAATGCAAAATCAGGTACCGTAGAGTGGCCAATAAATTTCATTAATAGCCTCACTCAGTTTCTCCTTTTATCAACGAATAATGATTCGACAAAAGAAAATTCCGACGGAATTTCTCGTAGACTGTGCATACAAAATTAAATGCTTCCATGTGCATACATCACATTTTCCGCGGTGATGTGTAAATAATGAAAAAACTTTAACGAAGTTGTTTTCGTTTACATATTCAAAACTGCACTTGCTAAACGAAGCATGATTCCTTTAGAAATTCTATTTCACGCAAATGGAATATATTTGGATCGAATTAGTACCTAATATTTTCCTTGCGATGAGAACACTGTGTTAACTCATTATGCCAAGAAAAATAAATGATAATATTCATAATCACATTTCACAGATTAGAATTAGATAAAATGGGAAGCGTGTAATAGTTACAGAAGTTCATAGAGAAATATTGTATTTAGTTCATCGTTTAACAATTGTTATGTGTTCTTGTAAATTTTATTAATTAAATATTTGACAATATTAATCGTATCTCATTTAAGTAAAACATGTTGCATCGATAATAGAATTAATAGAACCATAAATATTTATTCAATTTATTCAATTGAACGAATTTGCTGCATATAAATCTACCTGTAATACGAATATAATTTACTTTAAATAAACGTAAACCTTCCATTTTTTACAGATAGTAAATTCAGATATTAAAAGAATTACTTCTGATGATATAATGACTAAGTTTAGACACCTTCCCAAGAATACAATAAAATGATATATCGATATACATTGAAAGAATTCAAGTTTAATTAGTAACACGATTAGTAATACAACACAATAAGTTATCTTATTGACTTGAACATTCCTATTGCTGCTGAATATTCTAATGTCAACTTAGGGTATTATAGTCTCAAAGTTAATTAATGTAATCACAGAAT